GCTCAAGAATTTAAAGCAGTAATTATAAAGTACAAAGAAATCTTCCCGAACTTAATCGCAGGCCTAATTGATCAGGAAAACCAAGAATTAAAAAATCAAATTCTAACAGAAATCAAAAGAACGTCTTACCGGATCTTTAGCACTTGTAAGCAAAGGAACCATCTCGAACGAAGAAAACGTTGAAACTATTATAAATCACTTACAATTAGAAAGGCATATTGATTCAGCACTTAAAGCTTCAGTTCCCGATTCCAGAAAAGGAAACTTCAAATGCAGACTGGCCAACCCCTAAAAAGACATGTAAACCCCACCAGAAACTTAACGAAGACAAAGAAGTTGAACAATCTAATAGATTTGAACGATTAAAAGATAAAGCAAATGAAAGTAAAATTAATTCAGAAAATTCTCCTAACCATGATGACAAAATCCCGCCCATCGTTCTAAAGCAAGATGTTGATTGGCTGAGTTTACATTAAGTTTTGCAAACGCAAATCTTAAAATCTAACTACGAAACACAGATGAAGGCCAGGAACGTTCATTTATTAACTAATGCACTTGATGATCACTAAAATGCAGGATTCCAAAATAGAATTTCATACTTATCAAATCAATTCTCAGTCTACAGTAAAAGTTACCTTAAAAGATATGCCACGTACCATTTCTGAACAAGCCATTTAAGTTTATTTATTAAGAAGAAACTTTCCTGTTCTTAAGGTGAAACAATTTACTAAAAAGCAAGAAGATTCTTACATCAGACTTTCCATCTATTTCATTGAGCTAAAACGAACCTCTGAAGGAGAAGCAATCCATAACGTGAATAATATCTTCAACTTTAATATTACAACTGAAAAGTATGCACCAAAAACTCGCAGACCTATTCAGTGTTTTAAATGTCAATCCTTCGGACACTCTCAAAATAATTGTTCCAAAAAAGAAGTTTGTTGCAAATGCTCACGAAATCACCGTTCCAACACATGTAATTTAAAACCTGATGACTCCCCAAGCTGTTATCACATTGAAAGGAAATCAGATAAATTATAAAGGAAATTAAATGAGTTCGTACCGCAGATGTCCATGTTACAAAAGAAGATTAGATTTAAAAAAAACTTATGATTCAAGAAACTAAATTTCCCATCTCAAGTAAAGAAGACTTCCCAATTTTTAATTGAATCAGCGTTAAAGAAATTTCATAAAATAGCAGTACGTCAGCCTACGGTACCGCCCTTCAGAGAGGCCTAAGTCCTGAAAAAGAGCTTGCGGAAATCTTTGAAATTTTCTCAAAGCCCTATTATTTTTAACTTCATTCAAACTATGTCAAATATCGCCAAGAAGATTAAACAAGCAAAAAGCAGTACAGAGAAAATGCTAATAGCCTTCAAAGCAGTGAAGATTATGCTTCAATTCGCCGACGCTGAAGAATAATCCTAAGATTCATTTTCAGAGCAGCTTACGACGTTGACGATAGATGGCGGCACAGGAGCCGGCCTTTTTCAATTGCACTCAGGATGTGCAACTCCGGTAATCCGTTTCTTGCGGTTTTTTTACGCTTCCAACAGAAATCCTCCTCGGAAGACGATAACCATGTATTGGTAAAGGCCTTTCTTAAGGCGCCGTATTCCAATAACTAGGACAAGGATAGATAAGTATTTCAGTAGGAGAGCGTGTTCTACCTTTGGGCCACGTTGTTGCTATTAGTGTAAGCTTGCTGTCCTATGGTCGTACCTGCTGGTATTCGCTGGTGATCTTTAAATAAGGGCCAACTCCGCAAACTGATTCTGTGCAGCTTTGGCTGATTAATTTTATTTAGCATTAGATTAGTTTTATATTTTCCATTCTGGGTTAAAGCCCAAATAGAGGCTTCTTGTACGCCCGAGAGAGGCCATTTGTTAATTTATTTTAAGTTGGAATAAAGGGTAATTTAACTCTTCTCCAGAGTTGTTACTTGCACTACAAGAATTCAGCGAATATGACCTACACAATTCTTCAGTATTCTAGCTTCCAGAGAACTCTAATTTAGTTGAGGTATTATAAAGATTCAGTAATAAAAATAAATAAATTGTTATATGGAGCTGTTTTGAGTTATTTTATAAGTATACTGATAAGTATTTTTGGTGATAGATGACTCTTGTTTAATTTAAATACAAGGGTAGCAACGACAGAAACAATCATGTATTCATTGTTATTACTGCTTTCTTGGACAATAACTTTCTATATCTTAAAAAGTATCAAAAGTAAATTTTGTTTAGTTATGATGTTGCGTGGCCCCAACTTGTCCGCAACAGTAGTAGTGACTGCTATGAACTGTAAATTATACAAACTCGTAAGAAGGGTTTAAATCCCTTTTTATTTCACTTTAAATCACAGTTGCGTTCAATTGACGCTCACAACTACGCCGACCCGGCGGTTGAACAAATAGACAAAATGCAACAAAAATATGACAGGATGAATAAATAACGAGTCACTATCTACGAGGTTAAATCGTAACTAACTTAACCGCGTTATAAGATACAGCTGAGACAGAAAACTTACTGTTTAAGAAGTTGAAAGATTCAAAACGAACTGCCGAATAGGCACACAGGCCGAAACGCGCGGTTCTTAAACTTTAAACTAGTACCTTCACGCGCGAAAAGAAGCACAATAACATCCGTTTCCCTCTATTTAAACTCAATTTACTCTGCAAAATTTGAATACTCTGTGCGTTCTACTAATTTACATACTCTGGCATTGGCAATTCTAGGGGAAAATAAAGGCTTGACAGGAAAGATAGCTTAAAATAAATGTTAGTTAAAGTAAATATAAACCCTACATAGTAATTAAATAATGAAGCGAGCTCTATGCACTGCCGGAAATTGCCTGACTATGGCTCATATACCAAAGAAACATTAACAGAAGTTGGATGTGACTTCATTTAACCAAGCGGTTAAATATAAATGAAGTGCAAAAAGGAGATCATGGGACTAAATCACTTTCAAAACTCAAGTCTTCACAAAGCATAGTTAGCAGTCTTCGTAAAGCAGAGATGACAATTAAATCAGCTACAAATACATAAGTTTAACTAACAAATGATCATTTGAAAATAATAATTTCAAATATGCAAATAATAATCAATTCAGTGCTAATGCTGTTTATAGCTAATTAATCTGTACTATTGTTCCCGTGTCCACATTTCGTGGAACAATGGTTGCAAGAGCCTACTTCGAAGACAGGTTGGACTTCTATTCCCACCCCCAATTTTGAGGGAGAGCAACCGGGGGGATCCGATGGTCTCCCACCCCTCTCCTCACTCCCCAATTCACACGAAAGGACTTTCAGCTCGCCGCATATTTAGAGTGCCGCCATGTCGCACCGACACTATACATTTAATCCTGATGACACTTAATCCTGATGTATAGTGTATAGTGCTGCACCGACACTGCACACTATACATTAATCTGTATTAATATTTATTAATGAATAACAGTTCAGAATAATAAATACATTGTAAGTATTAATAAAGAGGATGTGAGGGTCAATCAATAAACATGTAGTGAATAAACACTTAGACACATAGTGAGTATTAATCAGTATACTAAATGTAAGTATTCAGAATAATAAACGCGTTGTGAGTATTAATAAAACGATTTTGATAGTAATTGCAAATATATAGGCTCTTTGCTCAGAATAACAAACGCGTTGTGAGTGTTTATTACAATAGGTGATATTTTGTTATAGCGCATTGTGAGTTAAGTAAGCACTGAGAGTTTTCTCTTTTCTGCTAGGAAAACAAGGATATTTACAATAGAAAATTGTATAGAGAATCTCCTTAGGAATACCATTTATCTCCTATTACGTCCTTTTGAAGAAAAAAATCAATTGATATGTCTAATTCACGAACGATGTCTTCCCTTTTTTGCTAATCACAGCTTCCAGAATTAAAACACCAGGAAGTATAGAATTTCACTAGAACGAATACTTAAAATGTAAAGCATAGCAGTATATATTTTCATTTTGTGAATATTTGTCACTTTGTGAATTTCATTTTGTGGATTACAGTGTAGGTGATGCATAATGTAATACGCATACTCACATATTCCAGAATCTTTCGGAAGGGAACAGCGATGCGTTGAAGCATGCTCACAAAATTCGCCTTCAAAACCCGGGGAACACTCACATGTTACTAGATGTGGTAAGGAAGGCCATTCAGATGGCTTGCACAGCCCACCATTTTTGCAAGGATTTGGATTGCAAAAATCTATAATAAGCATCAAATACACCACATAAATAACAAAAATAAAAATAAATATTTTTTATGTAATTATATGTTTAAATATAATAATAATCTGAAACGTTTTCGTAAATCACTTTCAACTACACATAAGGCCCTGATGTAAATTTTAGTTATGTAATAAACATGCTAGTGTGAGAAAGTAAGAGTATCCAACGCTATATTGTGTATACGGGTTTCAAGAAAATGTGCGCTATAAAAATGTATTTATCACTAGCAAGGAATTTTCCTACAGTTTTTATATTACATATATTATTTCCAAAATTATTAAAAATAGTGAAACTTAGTGATTTGGTTGCTTTAACATAAAAATATCTCTTTCATTTTCTTATTATTAGTAAATAGAGAAAATTTGAAACATATGCATTCTTATAATTTATTTTATAACATTCTTATAAAATAATACTATATGTATTCCGCATTGAGTACGTATGCTAAATATTTAATTCGATAAAAATTAGAAAACGCGTAACATACTACCTGTTTTCTCGTCACTGCAGTCTATATCTTGACCATTTACATGACACATCAAAGAGCAATTTCCACAAAGTGATAGTTTACAAGGTACATACGTATAGTACGGACATTTTAATAGAGATGATTCATCACAAATAGGTATCTGCAACTAATAAATAATAATACCCTCTGTATTTTTGCATATACTCTCTTATTTAAAAGAATAAAATATTAAGTACAAGGGCACAGAAATGTTCCACATTAAATAAATTAAGGAGTCTGCATGCAGACTATGAATCTTAAATTAATAATAACAAGAAACGCGATTGAATGAATAACCTAATATATAGTTTTGATGAAATGAGGAAACATATTATAATGTTACATCAGTTTCAAAAGAAACTGAGATTGTGATAAAAATCAACCTAAAATATAAAACGTTAACACGTCTTGTTAAACTGCACTTACCTAATCCGAAAATTTGTCGAAAACGTGAACAAGACGACGTCGTAAACATGAAATAAATATGTAATGAAACAAAAATTAATTGCAGAAAATGCGCGGTCTGACAAATTTTCGAAGTAAATCCCCGATAACATGTGTCTAGATTCTTCTCAAAATCCGCCTGAACATTAGATCTTCCCAGAATATGTCAGCAGCAAACACAGGGACAACAGCTACAGGAAATACATTAATGCAATAGAATGTAGTTTTCCATCACCACAAAAACTTCATATCGTTTGCAAAAAGTCATTGAATTTGTACCAGTCATATACGCATTCCGTTACATTTCATTTTTGATTCAAAAATTCTCTTACTTACTTCAGCTCAAATAAAATAAATGTAAAATAAATGTACCAGCGCATTTTGATGTTCTAATTTCAGTTCCATATGGTATAAATATTAGGTTCTCTTTTAAGTCCTTGTGCATAAATCCCTTTTGCATTCGATTAAAGGTAAGAGGAGTGACAGGAATAACAACCTGTCAAAAAGACTCTGTGCTCTTGCCTCTAAACGTATAAAGTATATTTTAAGAATTTAAAATTTATGTTTTGAAAATAAAGCATGTGAAAACAAAATTCTTAGCTGCAAAGTTTTAGAGATTCCGTATACAGTATGAAAAGAAATACTTTTATACATACATAAGATGAATCCCAAGTAGCACACAACGTTGCAAACTGGTCCGAGAGGTTGCAAAGTGGTCATGGTAACTTTTACGACGTCTTTACAATGTTGTTTAAAGCAAAATATTTGCCATTGCATCTTGGCAATTTGACGACGTAGCTGAAACGTCATGATGTGACCGCTTTTAGATGCAATTTTTTCATAATTCATCAGCGTTATTTTTAAAATGATACGAGACTAAATCTGCCCTTTCAAGAATCTGAATTCCGCATAAGATTTATTTTGCAATGTTTCATTACTTTATTTCACCTAAATATATTAATCTAATAGATTCATCTAAGAAATATAAATTTAATATAAATACTTTTGAATTATTAAATTTAATTAGTAATAAAATACGTGCTAAATTATTGTTTTAAATTTTCTTAATAATTAATACTTAAAATATTTTTATAAATATTAGAAAAATATTAAAATTGAAACTAATCTATAAGTATTAAGTTATGCATTTATATATTTTAAAAAATCATGTTTCCGAAATCAATGCAAATCACGTGTTAGTAATTGCTTCACTACTGAAATATGACTTTATTATTTTTGAAGTAAGGACGAATTTATTTGAATTAATATGGTGACATAATATGAAACATTTTACAGCATACAATACAAAAAGTACAATTTTCGCGGAGATATGATTGTGTATGAAGATGTATTCACGGATAAAAATGGGGCGATTTTAAGAATTCCATGAAAACATCCAATGTTAAAAGACAATGCATATCCATGCATATTTAACGGCTGTCCAATATATATGACGGAAAACTAACCGACAGTCAGGAGAAGCAGAACGGAAAAATTAATGGAAAAAGAGAAAGAAATATTAACACTTTTCATGGAAAACAGCAAAATTAATGGATTTGATAAATTACTAATAAATGTTGGCATAAAATTTAGATAAACTGTACATTGCTCTTCAACCGGTGACATTGCATGTACATTATTTATTAGATGCTTATATAAATGAACGTCTCGGGGTTTTGCGCACTTTGGCTAGCTGCCCAAATTCAAAGTTCGAAGAATTTAACTGTGCAGTTACTTGAAAGCTAGACTTTCCAGCTAAAGAATGGCGAACAGCGATAAACGGAACAGGAAAGATTCCAGCAGTTCTTTCAAGTAATTTGGTAAAGGTGCCATCTGTATGGCATTTGAAAAGACTGACTTTATGTGTGAAATTGAATCAAGCAATGACTGATATAAATAATATTTTCTTACATTAAAAGTAAATGTATATGCACTGTCAATCACAGAACGCACTGTGAATCTTCTCATTGTTCTGTCCCTATCTACTTACTTCAACTGCCTTCAGCGAGTGAATTTGCATTGCTGTGAGCTCCTGTTTGGAAGCCTCTTGAATTGGGGAGAAATCATCTTGAGAATGTAGAATTTTTGATTAGTTTGTTTGTGAATATGTGCTCTACAAGAAAACACCAAAATTTTGATACATCATTTAAAAATTATTGAATGCAACGAGCTACAATGCTAATTGTGAATATAGTGTTCGTGAAATAGTGTTCTGTTTTGGTGTTTTATGTGTTGCGAGTGATTAAAAAGTTATATGGTGATTTGTGCCTCAGTTATAACGTCCCAAGTGCTATATCATATATCATGCATATTAATGAATTATTGTGTTCATATTGAAAGGTTGGTTCTCAGAATTAATTCATATAAAACAAAAAATAACATACAAACGGTAAGGCACTTTCTGGTTTTGCTAAAAATGCAATCAATACAGAAGCAACAACAGTTCAAGCTGTTATGGTATGCTCATTATTTTCGAAATACAAAGAAATTATTGGACTGGTACCAGTATTTAATATGACTGCTGAAGATGAATTAGATATATGTAATAGCAAGAAGAAATACATTAAAATTAATAATAATGCACATTTTATAAGTATGTTGTCTTTTGTATAGAATGCAGAAAAGACTAATGATTTTAAACAGTGTATGAAATGTATGATCGAAAAAATAGCATTTCTATGAAATATTGTAATCAATAATTATGTGATAATTAATTGTGTAATATTAAAAAACACTAAATATTTTTTATTGATTGCAAATTGCAGTTTTATTACTTTCCGTTTAGTATCTGTTCTTCCAAACACTGTGTAATTCGCGTTTGTTTAAATACTGCCGTGATGTATGTTTATTAGATTATCTCAATAAATGAACGTTGGAAATTAGGTTTTATTTTTTATTGAATTTAAGTATTTTCTACAGCCGTTATGTATGTTTATTAGTTTATCTCAATAAATGAATGTTGGAAATTAGGTTTTATTTATCTCAATAAATGAATGTTGCAAATTAAGTTTTATTTTTTTATTAAATTCAAGCATATTCTATTTTCTTCGCTTACTTTTTATGTGCTTGTGATAACAAAGAAATTCATAATAAATAGAAACAAAAAGTTTCATCGTGTGCTATTTAACGTATTTATCTTACTATCGTATACTATATTATTTAAATTATTTCTGTACAGTAACAAAAGGAAAATTATTGATTATAAAAAGTGCATGAAATAATCATTGTCATCTACCACTATTCTAAAATGGAGAAACTAAAAATAAGTAAATACATTAACATATGATCGAAAGAAATGGTGTTAAGAAACATCAGTATTACTGTAAATACTGCAATCCATAATTATTGCACTTTAATTGCTTACTATTTAAAAAACACAAATAATTTTTTATTAATTGGACATTTTAGTTTTGTTACCTTTCCTCTGCTATTTATACTTTCAAACACTACTAGTTTATGTTTTTTTCTTAAACAGTGATGTCATGTATGTTGTTTGTTAGGTTATTATTTCATTTTAGATATGAATATGAAGTTTTTTTTTTGGTTATTAGATTTAGGTATATTTTTGTATGAACTATTTTTGATCACATTTATTAACTGCTTTTATACAGTCTTTAATTTGCATATCTTGGAGATACAGAAGTTAATGGTTATATTTTTTGCTAAGAAACGGTGAATGAATTTATACTTGAGCTTCAGGTGAAATACTGATTAAGTTCCCTTAAGAACCGCCTCCTAATTTATCATGATAGGGGCAATTTTCAATGTCTCTGAGATTTAACAGAAATAAATGTCATAATGTTGTTATCAGAAACGCTCTTTTTTTTCACCCACATATATGTCTTTACTTTTATTTATGTTTGAGTTTTATTTTCTTAAAACCTACTATTAATGTTATATATTTATAATAACCACTTTCATAATTACTCTCACTTGAGGGAAAATATGATGAAATCTTAAATAATCGTAACTTAAAATTTCAGTTATTTAAAAAATATAGTTTAAAATGCTGAAAATAATTTTGGTTATTATTAATTATGCATATTTAGTCTAAAGAGAAAAAATTGTATTATCTTCTGGTTTTCAGGAAATGATAAAATATTTAAACTTTAGATAAATACAAGGAATTCAAAATTTTAAAAAAGAAGAAAAATATAATAATTAAGTTCATTTTTCTGCATAAATCAATATGTAACATAAGGACATAATAACGACACTTTACAACTGTTGCAAAAAGGTGGAATTTTGCGAACATTTAGGCGTCGTTAAGACGTCGTGATACGCTGCTTTCACAACTAAAATATCACTTGTGAAAGACGCAATGACGACGTCTATGGGACAAAAAGCTCATCTGCAAAGACGTAATAAAGACGTCTTTGAACCGGTTGCAAAATATTGGAGTTTCCGTGGACATTTGGGCGTCTTAAAGACGACATATTGCAACGTTTTTGCAACGACATCTGTGACGAGTTTGCAACGTCGTTGCGACATTGCTGTGCTACTTGGGATGCAGGTGATAAAAAGATCGATAAATAAAATATAATTATTTTCCACTTGTCTAATTTAGTAACATATTTGAAAGAAATAACAGGAAATAAGTACGGGAAAGTCACAAACCGCTTAATATGTTAACATGTAAGAACACTGACCGATAGTAAGATTTTGAGTTGTAATACCTAAAGCGTATTCTAATATGAGAGTTCAGGAGTTCAGGGCAAAAAGACAAATCCTTCACCTTCGTCATTAAATCTTCGTTTTAATAACTTTACATCAAGCAATGAGAGATCCACTAGCCACAAGCTTTTTCCTGCAACAAAGTTTCCGTGAAAATAACGGCATACTCAGGCTGGTGAAATCGCTTAACCTTGTGATATTTTCTCGTACGTTGCTTGATGAACTTTTTGTTGCCTAGCTCGACACCAAATATGGCCTAGTGTACCGCCGGTTAGGCTTTTTTCCACCCGATACATCTAAAAGTTTTCGTTCCTTAGTTCTGCTGCTCAGTGCAACTGCTTCGACTGCCCCGAGTCTGGTGCCAGCACTACACTTCTTTAATTTGTTGATGTTTTCGGTCTTCCTTTTCTTCGATCATGATGTGCATTTTGCACATCTTTCACGAAAGCACAGTAACCCAGTGTAAAGTACGCTCCGCTGCCTGATAACTTCAAATTTCACGCAGTTTAATGTGAAATTTTCTTAGAGTTTAGCCCCGAAAATTTTCGGTAACAAGCATGATCTCTCATTTTCTGAAGTTACAGTCCCCTGCAGACTCCATGGCAAGTTTACTTTTCGTACACAAGTTGTGTGACCATCAAACTGAAAGTTAAATTTTAAAAAAATTAAACTTTCTTCTGAGTCAGAGTTACTTCACTAAAAAGTTTAAAACGACACATAAACCATATGGCTACTTTTACGGATCTAACCAGTTAACAGTTAGAATAGAGTGGTAGGACCTCAGGAATAAATTATTTTGTAGACGTCTGCCGTGTCACAAAGTGTCTCCATATCGAACATCTATGTATGTCCATAGAAACCCGAGGAGTTAAATGTTCATGCTCTATCTGTATTTCTGTAATTTATTCTAATAGTTACAGGTATATTTTCTATCTATACCATTAGTTTTGATTTACCCTGTATTTGAAAATCAACTTAGACTTCAACCCTGTGTGGTCGGCTGTGAACAGCTGGAATATGAGCAACGTTCATAGCATATCGCGGCAGGAGTTCTTAGATTAACTAGCAATAGGTTATCCAAGTCCAGAATTATCAGGGCGATTCGAGAGATTGTTTCGAGAATTTTCAGTTATGGGCAGCCTAATGATTACTTCAAACTCTGGCAGGTTTCGCTGGATGGCATACTGAAATAGTGTAGCCCTTAGGACTGTTATGAATGATATCAATGAAATTGCAGTCGCGTTTTTTTTTAATGAATTATTTTACACGGATAGGTAGGCGTGGGTAAGAAAGTAAAACTTAGTCATTCCAAGGTTTTGAATTAAAATATTCAACGATTTCTTAGATTAGAGTTCAAAAGATTCGGATCATTAAAAAAGCTCTAAGGTTTGAGGATTGGAATATTAAAATGTTTTTGAAGATCTCCGACATCTGAGGATTCGAATGTCCCAACCTTAGACAAAACCGTAGAGTCTTGCTCTTTTTGGAACCATAAAATGTAGACCCTACTGAAGAGAAGATAGCGAATTCTATCTATGTCATGAATAAACAGATGACTATGCCGAAGAAGGTTATAACAGCCTTTTTATTTAAGCTAAACTTTACAGAACACTTTACAGAAACTTTACACACTCGGTGCTCACAAACTAACCACAACTTGTGGCTAAGTAACTTAAACACAAAATAGTAGGTATAATCAGAATGAAGCAGATTTTAACTACACGACTGGCTCCTACTTTAATCTAAATCCAATTTATTGACTGCACTAAATTATACTGAGTCTAAAATATCAGTATAATCTAAAGTAAGTGGCTAGCACAAATTCAGCTACAGAGCTACTTGCAAAGATGCGGCATCAACTCGTTCTCGGCGTAACCCGCTCTTTTCGTAACTAACCCTTTTAATACGAACTGTTCAATTCTGCTACTTAAATACTATTTCCGAACTCACTGAGATTTTGCACATACGTCCTTTAAATTTGCACTATGAAATTGCATTTAAAATTGCAATAATTGATTAGTACAAAATAGAGTCTTTGCAAAACCAAATATAACTTGCAATCCAATTCGCATCTAATGAATAAATTCAATAATTTAACATTTGATTTGATTTTAGTTCGTTGGTCCTCATGCTAATTGTGTGAGAAAGCAAAATTATTAACTTTGATGCAAAAGCCTAAAAAAATTATAATAGCTTATTTTAAAATCATTTTCCTCTTTCGAATCGCAGTTTCTCTGCAATGCGCGTTGTTTTTATTAATTATTGTATTTTTTTCTAAAAAACTACATGGGAACTCAAAAAAAAACTCGATTTCCTTTTAAAATTAGCGATTTATTTTTCACTCAAATGAAATGATTTAATATTCATAAAGACCAGTGAACCAAACAACAATAATGAAAGGAGGGGGGATAAGGGAAACTTGAAGAAAATGCTTGGTTTTTCAACCTGAAAAAACGAACGCTCAATTGCACAGTGCACTACTTTCAAATTTATATTTCGTTGGCACATATTTTTCTAAACTTATAGCAAGAGATATAATATTTATTTATTTGTATTTATTCGTAACCATGTTATTTACATAAAAAAATGCGAAATTCTCATTATTTACTTTCAAAGTTTCTTTCTATTGGAAACCTGACTCATTATTTTTGGTTTGGTTTGGTTTATATGATTACGGCAATTCTCCTAGGGCTATCTGCCTAAGGGGAAGGATGTCTTCGTGGAGCATTTTCTAAGGGAAACTGGCGCGCATACACATTCCACATGGAAAAACCACGATAACGCCCATGCAGTCAGCCCGTTCGTGGGATTCGAAACTCGTACCGAACTACCAGTCTTCAGTGACTTTACCCCTCGGCCGCTGGTGGGATCCTCATGATTTTTGAAAGGATATAAATGTGGATTTCGGTAAAATTTTATGAACTCTACCATGCGGTTCTGTCATGAAGTTTAGACACCCCTGGTTTATTATTACGAATTGCCAAGTATATTCCTAGTTACATAAATAAGAATCTCATTTCTGTTACTTTCTTTTGTAAGAATATCTGGTAATCTAAAGCTGTTAATTTTGCCTTTGTAAGCTTATCTGTTAACCTGAAGCTGTTAATCTTTCCTTTGTAAGAGTATCTACATTGATATAATTGAGATAAGAATTCAAATAGAAAGATAATAGTTTCGACAATTCTGGTCAAAATGAGATTTTATCGATTCGGTCTTCAGTTTAGGCGTAAAAACTTGTCGAAGATAAAAATATATCGTACTTAATTAGGAAAGAAAATATGTATATGATAAAATCAAAAACAATATGAAAAAGTGTAAAATTTCCACGTTTTAAGCCAAAGTAAGAAAATTGTTTTCATCTTAAATTAAGAGACTAAACATTTGCAGGTTTTTTTGCTAAAAACATTGCATATTTCTAATTTAAACTAATACCTGGTTATCAAAATTATTGCTGCAAGAAGTCCCAGCAGGATTATGTTCTTGTGGATGAAGAAATATATCAGCAGTGAAACAAAACTGGTCACTCCACTCTGTTGTCCAGTCTACAGGCTAAAAAATAATAAAATTTAATGAGCAAAAATATAACTATGTTTATGGTATAACTATGCTTATATTTATAAACTGTGTTTGATTGATGTACACTAGTATAAAAACATTTTTCCTTCTTTGGCATTGTGTTACATCATATTAAAATAATAATTAAATAATTAAATTGCGCAACAACTAAGCAATACGAATAATTTAAATAACGTTATAGGAAAAAAAATTAAAACACAGGTATTTTGGCATTTTATTCAGTTCAAAGATATTTGCAATATAACAAATATAGTTTAACTGCATTTGTAAATAACATACAATAGAAAAGAATCTTAAAAGTTTCCAAATTATTTTTCCTCGCATTTACTCTCTACTAATCTATGCATAATTTTATTATGTCATTGGTACTCAGTACACTGGGTCTTTCTGATCTATCGTATTTTGTAAATAGCTGCTTGAATTACTAAATTTGGATTGTCAACGGTAACTGTAGATTATTTTTAATTCGTTCAAATGAGTCATCGTCCATCGTTACAACCGGTGCAAACCCTATTTAAATACAACAGTGTAGTTGTTATATTGGGGAGCGTGCATTCTATTAACGACACTATTAATGTTTCCAAAACGTTTGTATTCAGTTTTTGATAGTGTCTCATTGATTGAAAAAATTATAGGCTTAAAATACAAATTTTCTTCAAATATTTCTTTTTGTTACTTTTCCGTTTCGCCGGCGCAAATCTTGCCAAGCAGACTTTATTGGCGACAACAGACAGTATACACATAAAAAAATGCTGACAAATATTAGTTCTAAGAATTTTTTATTTTGAAGGTATAAACATTTTATACAAAACACAAAATAAAAATGTCGTTTAAAATTTTGTTAAAAAAGCCACTAAATAAAGACAATAAATTTGTAAAACGACATTAATTTAAGAATTTACTATGCTTTCATGGTACAACATCCTGATTCGATGGCTCATATCACGTGACCCCAAGTGATCTCATCTCACGTAAACTGTGCTACAAAAATCTAATTCTCTCCGTAATTATCTACATTAATTTCAAGTTAAATCTTAATTGGGAATACAAGTGTAAATGCAAGAATTATTTCATTCGTACGAATACTCAGAGAAATTATGTAAAACCGCAGTGCTTTACTTCGCTAGTGCATTCTCATTAGAATTGATGAATTTAACCCTTGACTACCTGGTAAAAATTCTATGTAATTGTGTGCCAGTATTGAAAGAAACAATCAATCTGATAAGAAATGGTAGCGGCTTGTTTTGAAAATAAGGAATAAAAGGTTACCAGTTAGGATATTTAGTTTGGCATGGGTTGTACCATTATTAGCGACTTTATCGCAGAAAAGTACCTCTTTTTTTAAATCAATTTAATATTCAACAGAGAAGTTTCACGAAGTTGATTCCTTCTACTTCGATCTAGCGCTACGTGATATGTTTATATCTGGAATATTTCAAACAGAATCATCCTGGTTTTCCTCATTTTTGGAGTATTGTTTGGGAAGCCATCTTTGTGCGCTCCATTTCTAAATTTAGACACAGAACTTTTGCATCTATAAAAGGAAGGAGGTCAACGTGCTTGATTCCTAAGCGCTTTCGAATCAATGTCATGCAGCTCAATAGACAAGTATGGCCTGATTGTACTTCGAAGTGATAGCCCTTAAATCTTAAGACAAGCATGCAGCAGCTGTACTATCAAAGCCTTTGATACTTTTGTAACATACTGGTCCACAGCAGGAGATTTGCTTTCCTGCTCTTAGCAGTTTATTATGAGTTAGAAACGGGCCTGGTGGAGGTGAAAAACATCAGCGACACTTTCTCCAGGAAAGGCAGAATTAGGTGGAGCAAAGAGTGTGAAGCATCTTACTTCTTTTAGAGGAGATGCCTGACTGTCTGTGTGTTGAAATACTGAATGTCTTAGAATGAGTAGAACATGAGAAAATGAAAGTTATCAAAGCCGATAGCTAGTCACCCCTTTAAATGTTCACATAACCTCGATCGTATGCTTCCCAAATTTCGTTTAAGCGGGAGTTATGTTTTCCTCATATTCAATGGCGGACGGAAGCTCTTAGGTGCCAAAGGTTGCACTTTTACCAAAGGGCATTGGGACGAGTCCAGATTTTCTACAATTATGCTGAGGTACTGATACTAGCAGCCAGGGTCTGATAATTTCTTCACAAATGGTTATCTACTGAATGCAGATACTTCAGAGTGCCTATACAATGTATTTTATTACATTAATAATGAAAGTACTTAAAAATTATGCTTCTTAGATGAAATTCTTAAGGCAGAAACAGCCATGCTATTAATCGTAGCATGAACGAAGATTGTAACGCACAATCGTGTGGTGGTTGTTCGCAATAATGCAAAACAGAATACTGAAGAATACAGTTTTAAGTTACTTGGCCATTCGAGTGGTACCTTAGAATTTTGTGGCTAATTACACCAGATAGAACTACAATAAGATAGAAACATAGCCATTCGCAAATTACTAGTGACTGTGAGCCGTAAGCCTATATGGTTTATCTTTTGGTTGTTGGGTTAATTTGCCAGACAGTACTTACTTGTTTTCATTTATCACTAGACCCGTTTTCATGTAATCAATAAAAAAGGAATAATTAATTGAATTATTTACAATAGAAATAAGCAGATTTTAAAGTACACTCACCTTAAAATTAGAAACTGCGAAATCATCTGGTTGCACACCCCAAGCTTCATTAATAACATTTCTTGAGATATTCCTGTGCTCACAAGTACGAGGCAAATTTTTCAAGAAACTTTCTTCTTGGCTATACAGTATAGATTGGATTTTTTGACCTGCATACAAGACTGTTTTAACATTGCTTTCAAAGCAATTAGGTGAAGAATACGATGTCGCTTCAGAAGAACGCAATAAATCTGGATCAAGTGTCTCCCTATCTAAAGGAAATGTGTTTATATCAGAAAATTAGAAAAATATGCAGCAAAATATTTTGATAAATATTTGAAACAAACCCCACCAGCAATGTACAAGGAAAGGTTTTCTCAAATATTTAAATCCAGCCTTACCAACAATATGCAGTGGAAGATTTTTACTAGTATTTAAACGGAGCTTTCCCTTCGATAATAGAAAATCCATTTAATAACAACTGGCACAATCAAACCTTCATTCAACACTAACATAAACTGGAAAAGATTAATTCACGTTGGCAGACAAAAGAGTAGTCGTCTATCATCAGAAATTCAGTAGAATAATTTGGATTTAATGACCGAAATGATTTCATTTTATTTCTCGAAATAACTAAGGAAATCAAACGTCTATGCATTTCGGGAATCTGTCTTTAAATTCATTTAGTTTACCTTTGGAATCAATGGCAAAGAAAACGTGCTTGCTTATTCATTATTATTACTCAAGTTGGTGGGAAGATTTTGCATCTAATAATTCTTTCACATCGTTCAATACTCTTTATTTTCACATTAGTTTAATCTAATTTTAATGATCAAAAACGAAATACAAAGTACTGTAAACAATAATGAAAATTATTTCCCCTGAAAGTTTTTTTTTTTTTTGTTTTGTTTTTTGTTTTTTTTGTTTAATCGCCAAACCAGCGAAGATGAGGATTGATGCTGAATGAGGATTAGGTTATGTTAAGAGATTAAGGCAAAGCAACTCGAGATCATCTGCGAATGGGAAGAGAGGCCTTCATGAAGGTCTTTCTAAGAGAAACTGGCTGCCGTCTACATTACACATAGGAAAAACCACAAAACCTCCCATGCAACCAGCCCGTTGGGGGTCGAAATTCAAACTTGTGAAATGAGGGATGCCTTGCTTGAAGATAGTCTACAGGAAACGGGTCCGCATTTACGTTGCACATAGAAAAATATATGAAAACGCCATACAACTAATCCTTTTCTGAGAATGAGCTCGAGTCGAACTACCAATATTCAGTAGCTCTAGACTACTAGTGAAGCTGTTGAAAAGTGCTTTACGAATAAATTGAGCATATGTTGCATCAAATGTTAAAAAGTGCTTCGGGCATAGCTTCCCATGAAAAATAGCATTAAAATGTTCATGTGAAAGTATTTTTTCGTTAAGAGCGGCAGGGTTTACTCGCAATATTTTTCACGTACTTGTTTCCAAAATTAAGGCAAAGAATAAATTAAGCCAACTCTGTATACTTGTAAGTTATTGTTTAGTCTTTGATATTTATGCAATTATCATTCTGCGAATATAAATCATAACTAGGAAGTCTTGTTTTTATCGACGGGAGATATATATAACTACAAAATTCTCTGTGCTTCTAATTCTTTCTCTACAAACCGTATCAAAATAGAGTACTGCTCCTTTCAGGGGAAAATATAATTAGAGTTTCATTTTAAAAGTTATGTAAGGTGCTTAGCAAGAAAATGCGCCTCAGTTTTCATACAATTATGAAGTTTTTGTCTAAAGCAACATAATATACTATTCAGTAGATTTATTCAAGAGATAATAATTTTGGCAACGTTTAGCTAATATTAGAAAAATTACAAAAGCTTAATTTAACTTTAGCTTCTTATGCACTAAATTAGAAACGAAAACGAACTATAATTAAAAATGCATTACACTGCTTCCAGTTTGCAATGAACGCAAGCATTTTACAGAGCTTTTTAACCTAATATTAAACACATATCTGCAATTTTATGATTTTCTTACTTTTGTTATTTTTACTATTATTATTTTCTTAACACTTGTGATGATATTAGTGAAAGAACTAATCTTAAATATATGGAATAAAGCATTTTAAAAATCCTGAAATTAAGTCAAAGGAAGAATAAAAATCGTCATACATACCACATCCATAATCATTCACGTTATTATAATTTTCTTGAAGAGGAGGAGTGGACCTATACGTGTAGCAAAGAGACTCTTCGATATCAATAAGAAACTGTACTTGAATATTGAACGGGACCAAATTAGAATGCAAAATATTAGTCGCATATCCTTTGCCTTCGGCAGAAAAATGTCGATTCTGCCATTTCCAGAATAACAGATCAATGTACGCGTGTAATGAGTAGAAAATAGGATCATGAGGGCTACCTGCGAATAGGGCAAGATGGTTATCGATTAATAAAAGTTATACACTGTTACTAATATGAATTTATAATTCAAATCTTAAAAATAAAGTTCTCAAAATGCGTTTCAAAATAAAGAATGTGTTCACGATAATGTAACTCACGTGGCTACTTATAACTTTAAGTAACTTAAGTAACCTGAAGTTTTATCTAAAATAATATGCTTGATCATAATGGTTTCAGCATTTTTAATAATAATTCTAAAAAATGGTAGTTAATAATATTATGAATAATTGTTAATAATGATAAAACAAGTTTCCAAGCAATTTTTCGGGTAGATGATTTTCCACGTATACTCTCATTTATGTTGTTTATTTTAAATATCAGATGTTTCATGGTCTATAAAATACTTGTGAGTCAATAGAAGCCTTTGAAAACGCCACGTGAGAATACTCGCATAATGAGGAGAAACACTAACTAAGCTGATTGCACAACGAATTATCTGTGAACTTCAGGTGCTTCATATACTTTGCAGTACTTTCGTATCATCTTTACGTATGTTTACGTATTGTCGCGAATTTTGTATATATGTAAATAATTTTAGTGAAATTATATGTAAAACTGTAGTATCTCTTGTGTAATGCAACATGAAATGCCTCAAGAGTGAAGCTTTGCCAGAAAAATAAGATTACAAGAAAAAGTCTATTTAACATTGACGTAAAAGGCTATCTCGCCAGATTGGCGAGATGTTGCTAAGCTGGCTACGGTTTGGGCGCGAAAATTTTGTCCCCAAAAGTCGCCAAGGTTAGCGAAATTTTGGTCCGGTCACTGTATAACTGTAATTGGTACTTTAAAATTGAATAACTATAATTGATCCCTATACGTAACTGTAACGATATCCAGCTCGTAATGTAACTTTAACAGTTATGCCTTCCAGTAATTTCGAGAACCTGAAATACTAGAAATTTCTCGGCGTCCAAGAGAAAACTGTATAAGATCGGAGAAAGCATCAGTTTTTAACTTTAAGCTGAAAATGGATCGTACACTCTTAAATACCTCAATAAGCTTTAAATTCCCCTTGTATAACACTTTTTTTCATTCCACATTTCTTATCTTTGATTGTAATAAAATATATAAAAACTGTTTTCAAATTATTCGGTTTTAATGTAATTTGGTTTAATGCAATTTTTAAAAAAGATTTTTCGCTATTACAGTATTCTTGGTCATAAATATATGATTAAAATTCATTTGTAGAAGAACTGAGACAAAAAGAATTTCAAGGAGCAGTAAAATTGATTGTGTACCTATGATATATGAGAATGATGTATGATTACATACAATCTAATCCAATTTCTCTTCAATAATTTTGTTTTAAAATCCTCCTCCACCATTCTGTTGTTGTGATTTACCTCACTTCTGTGACTGTAACACCAGAATAAGATCCACCAATTTTGTCGTCGTGAGGAGTATAGTATTGTATCTGTCATTGGCAAGGTCTTGAACATCATACAGGCGGCAATACGATTTTGCGCTGTTCCGTCCCACTTTTGAAGGAGAATTTCCTGTGCCGCAGGGTCTAAAAGGCTACTCCTCCTACCTTTTAGCTCACAGTCATTTCAGGGGACTTTCTGTGTATTTTAAATGCCCGCATACCTTAAAGACACTATAAATTTGCAAACATCCATGCCTTCTGCGAGATTCGAACCCGTTTGCAATGATATAGCAAAAAGCAACGCTAACCACTACACCGATCAGGGTGGCTTACCGATTTTATTTTTAAGAATGTATGCCCAAGAATATTATGATAGTTAAAAATATTTTTTAACTTTTTAATGCATTTAACTAACATTTCATAATTTAAAAAATATTTTCCATATATTTTTATACCTTATGTTATATTGAAAGTTGGAAGGGAAGCTAACACCTCATTCCTTTTATTTGTATTTTTAGCTGGATCATCTAAACAATCTCATACACAGGGTAGCTGCAACAAAACTTTAAATCCTTTAAATTCGGAGAAATATGAAGCTCCTAACAAAGAAAGATCATTTATCAAATTATCAAATCTAATGTCATAGCTTATGTAAAATTCAGCTTATTTCAATTTTTTTATTATTATTTGATAGCTATTCGAAAATTTCAAGGTGCGTATTAAAATAAAATATTGATTGTAAGATTAAGAAATGCAGGTTAAAATTCTAAGATTTGACTTTTTTAATTTCAAATGTTGGCAAAGATGAAGGAAAATTAATTGCCTCTTTAGCCCAGGCATTGTTTTTCTAAAATTTTATTTTCATTTTTGTTTTATGTGGCACCTAAAATACGAAAAGGTAGCTTCTTTTCAGCTTTAAAGTGGATTTTATTGTCGCGTAGGTGTTATTTACATATACAGCATGAAGCTCGAGATCCGAACTCATGCAGACTTCGGCGATTCCGGATTTTGGAATTTTCTGGAATTTTGAATCATCAGTTTACATGTAGTAAGATGACATTTAGAAATTATAAAATCAAAATTATGAAACAGTTGTATTACGAATTTTGTACACATGTAAATAATTTTAGGGAAATCATATGTGAAATTGCAGTACTTCTTTTGTAGAGTGAAACATGAAAATCTAAAGAAGCGAAGCTTCGCCAGAAAAGTAATAGTGCTGGTAGAGTAACAATATTCAATATTTAACGTACAGTAAATGGTTATCTCGCTAAATTGGCGAGATGTCGCCCAGCTGGCGATAGTTTTGGCAACTAAATTTTGTAGCCAAATTTGGCAAGAAATCGCGAAACTTGGCGACCATTTGGCGATTTTATGGTCCAGTCCGTGTGTAACTGTGATGGGCATTGTAATTGAATAACTGTAATTAACGCTATACGTAGCTGTAACTGTATCTGGCTCTCATATGCTTTCTAGGAATTTCAAGAAGTGGAAGGTACTAGAAATCTCTCGACGGCCGAGAGAAAACTATACAAGATTGAGGAGAGCATCGGTTTCTGAGTAGTAGTTGTTTAGTTCAGCGTTAGTGCGGAGTTTTGAGCTATCTTCGTGTGAGCTTCGCTTTTTAGATGCGCTTTGCATTGCGTTTTATTTAACATTTTTAGTAGTTTAAAGTGTAACTACTGATTGGACTCTGTAATACAGGGAAGAGCTGTACGAGTATTTTTGTGGAAAGTTCTAGGACTGTGAAGTGTTTCTTTTAATAAAATAATTTTTATCAAGCTATCATCGGTTCTGTCTGCATGCAATCGCTTACGAACCCGTACGCACGAAACAGTTGTTATGAATCAATCACTGCCTCTGACCATAGGAAAATTATCACTTCTAATCAGCGGCTGTCAGCGGCTTGCCATGCTCAAATAAGTAGCCAACCAACCTTATAATCAGCGCTGCAACGAAATACGCATAACATTATCTTTTATTCAAGATCTTCTGAGTTTTCTCATTGCTTAAAATTACATACGATTCGTTTAAATTACTGTTTAATATAGAAACCCAATTAAAGAGTTTAATCTTTTAATCATAAAATGAATCATTATAAGCAACTATTGATTATTTATAAGTCACACCTCCTTTCTTAGAGACAGTATTTTAGCTAGCGAAGATTGGCAAGTGCTTATCACTCGAACAACTGGCGTGCAAGCAAAGGTTCTTCCCGAAGTCGCAATGTTTTAAATAAATTTATGTTTCTTGTTAAAGTTTTGTTTAACAAGGTACTTTTTTGGCATTTGATATAGAAGTTGACTTGAAACTTGTTTTATATTTTCTAAAATATATGGCGTACTTCACATTTGTAAACATGAAAAGATATATATATAGAGAGAGAGAAAGTTGTAAAAAGTTTTTTCACTCGACTTGTTAACAATTCCTATGGTTTGGCTTGATTTATTTATTTACAGCAAAGCACACGAAGGCTATCTACTTAAAAGGATGCATGCCTTCGTGGAAGACTTTCTAAGGAAACCTGGCTCGTGTATCCACGTTACGCATGGGAAAAACCCCGAAAATGCCCATGTAGCTATACTAAGCTTTGAATTCGAACCAAGCCACCAGAATTTACCGCTCAGTGGGAGCACGGAGATAATAATAAAGAAGATTCCAACACTAATTTTGAACTAGAATCCAAGTTTCAAACTCTAAAAGTGAAGGTTTTAGGACTTGACCTTTAGTGCAAAGCTTGAATAGATACATAATGGATTATATGTTAGAAGCTGACAAGACAGATGAACTTGAAAACGCTAGTCGAGTAATATATAAGTAGTTATTTTAAGGTTAAAACAATTTTAAATTTAAAAAAATAATTTGGTGTTGATAGTGTAACAAATTCTTCTGGTAGTATAAATAGTTCTCAGAAACGGGAAGTTTAAAATCTGAAGTTTAAATCTAATGGAAACATTACAGAATGTTTGCCATTTGGGACCCTGTTTAAGAAGATACAGAAAGATGATCTCGTAGATCCCGAGGATAAATTTCAGTACATTATACAATCAACAGTAAGAAATTCTCGTGCTAAAGAAACTAGCAGATAGTTATTCTGTGACAGAAAAAAATTACCCAAATTAGTACAATAGTTTAAATTAAGGTTTCGTAAAAAGGTTTATTAATCGAAATTTATATCAGATAACTTTTGTCATTAGTCGTTCAAAATGCGAAGACAAATCCTACTTCTTATCTTTCATTCTTATATGACAAATTAGAATCTCATTTCCTGGCACTAAAGTTTTAGCAGCCGAAACATAAATGTTAATCGAATCTTGTATTCCAGAGGAATTTGGTAGCGATGATCAGTTTAAAGCAATTGATTTAAAGCAATTTGTTCGAAATGAAGTCAAAAACGGACAATGAATTTTAATAGCAGTTCCAGATTTCAATTTTAAGACTGAGTTTTTTTTTAAGAAAGCATAAAGGTGAAGTTGAAAATAAGTAAAGAAACTACTAGTGCATCTGATGCATTCGTCCCGAACAGGCTGTCGGGATGTTGCAAACTGGTGCAAGACAATCCAATGTTGCCAGAGAGTTGAATGTGCATCGTAGTGTCATCAGTAGGCTGTGAAATCGTTACCAAAGGGATCAAAAACCCGTGTAAAAGAAGTGGGTCTGGACGCCGGAGGATTACCACAACGGCAGACGATCGCTTTCTGTTGCTATGCGTAAGATGCCGTAGATCACTAAAACCGCATTAGCTGGCGTTGCATCTTTCTGTTGTTTCAGGGTGGCCCATATTCTGCCAAACTGGTGTCGCGTCGACTGCTTGAGAGTGGACTGTACGTCCGAATGCCTGTGGTTAGTATTCCTTTGCCCCCATCGCACGTTAGAGCACAGTTAAGTTGGGCCCGTGAACATCGTAGTAGAAACCAAAACACTGGGACCTGTATGGATGAGTCTTGACTTGGGCCAACGTGATCGAAAGACACCATTACAGAGGAGGAGGCTTACTTGTATGGGCTGGGATAGCAACGAACGGCTGTATCGACCTCCGCGTAATTCCTGGAGGTTCCGTCATAGCCGTCTTATATCGCGACGAAATTCTGCACCCTCTTGTGCTTCATTTTATTGCTGCAATGGGTACCAACATGATATTTATGGACAATAATGCTTCTCCCCATAAAACTCGAGTAGTACGGAGTTATCTGGAGAGCGAAATGCCATGGATTGTTAGGTCACCGGACCTGAATCCCATAGTGTATGTATGGGACATGTTGGGACAACTTGCCCCATACATCCTTGTCCATCTATGGGATAGCAGGTCCTGGTGCACCACTAGGCACCTTCCACCAGCTTCGACATGCATTACTACTGGAATGGATGCTCCTGCCATAACTAACGATCAACGACCCTATTGCCAGCTTGCCTCACCGTTGTCAAGCATGCACTTCAGCTAGAGGGTATCACCCCCGTTATCGGCTTGATATTTCCATTGCACATTCTTCCGGTCTATTTGGTCTTTCGTGATGTGATGGTCGTAATAAGTGTGTTTTTGTATGCCCTTGTTTTCTTGTTTGCTTTGTGCTCTAGTAATGCCACACCAACCTCTTGGATCAATTTCACGCATATACATTAAATAGTTTTTGTTTTATTCCGCGTTTTGCCTTTTTGATTATTTTTTAGCATTAGTTTATTTCATAAATAGCAGTTATAACTTACTCCGTAAATAATTTATCATTTTAATTTATTATTTTAATAAACAATTAACTAATGTACTATTTTAATAACCAATTAGCTAATATACTATTTTAATAAACAATTAACTCATGTTCTTACCAGTTTGTATTACTCTAATATCCCCTTTTAGTACTTTTATCATTTTCTGAGATGGTACAGTCTGAAGAACTGTACCAGAAATCAAATCAGTTAGAATGAAATCTTGGCATCTACACAACGAAAAAATAGATTTTTAAATTTTGTCCAAATAATCTTTTTACTTAACTAACTTACTTACTTTTAAGATTTACTGATTAACTTAATTATTCGTCATTTTATTTCTAACAAAATGCCTGTGAGCGAATAATAGAAAGTATTCGCGTTTTTTAGGCTTCCTTCAAAATTTGTAAGCTGAACGTAAAGCAGGAAAAGGCGAAGATTCCCACAAAAAGCATTAAATAAAAAAAAAGTAATTATCATCTTAAGATACATGATAAACTTACTTGTTGTTTCCATAGCACCACCAATCATGTGATGCAAATATTCAGAAACTCCTTGAACTGTTGCAGTGAATTCAAAAAAATCTGATTCCGCTAATGCTAAGGCGATATCAACCATCGTTGGAGCAGTTACATTGTTTTTAAGCTCTCTCCGAATGCATGGCGTCCAAGCAGTATCACTTCCCACGATGAAATATTCTTCGCAGTTACTGGGATCTGATGTAGGAGATCCAAAGAAATCTGAACGCCAGATGGGGGATGATGAGAAGCTCCCAGAGTCTAACGTGAAGTCGAAGTAAGGTATTGTGAGGGAGCAACTGTATTCTTGTAAATATCTTTCCATGGTTCGTAAAAAGATTCGATTCCAGAACAAAAAGTACATAGGAGAATTAGCATGCATTATATGTGTCACATAGAGATTCCGCAAAGTTGTCCAGATGCTCTTCTCTCCGCCACGTAGAAGACGGGCTACTGCATTCTGATATTCTATTCGTTCCGTAGAGCTGAATTCTCGAATTTCTCTCCGCATACTTAATGCGTGACAACTGCAAAATAATTTATAAAATTATAAATGCACCATTTCTTTGCTATCAGTATTCATTATGAAATCAGGACACAGTTCTGCATATTCAGCGTAATTATATAATTAGAGAGACCCTACTCAAAATGCTTCTGAGTTTGTTCCAATAAATTTGGCATATATGTTAGTCAGATAATTGAGGAGATATTTCAATAAAAAATACGCAATTCAAATTTCCGTTAATTAATGATGTTTTACAGCAGAAAAAGTATAAACTTATAAATTAAGGAGCAAAATACTAGTACTATTAAATGCGAGCAGTCAGTACACGAAAACAAATTTTCAGCTTTCTCTTCCTACTTCTCTCCTTCTATGAAAGGTTCTTCACATCCATCTCTTCAACGTTTAGTACCTATAAGACTTACGTCTACTACACATTAATATTATAGGCATAATATGAACTCAAGTGTTCAAACATCCAAGTAAAACTATTCCATATACCCAATAGAGAAGGCAGAATGTATGCTACAGTTAAGTCAGACTGCCCAGCAAGGATATCAGCTTATAAAAGGATTGCGAGAAGGGCCGCTATCGAAAAATGGAATAGAAATGATGTTGAAAAATTCTGAAAAAGCAAGCGATTTGGATGATGTCAAAAAGATGACCGCAGATAGTTACTGTTGAAGTTGTTAACGAAATTACTTTTCCTGTGCTTGACAAACGTATACATGGCTCGAAATTCTTCGACGATAACTCGAGTGTGAATTGTTTACTCTCGATCCAGGAAGCGAAGAATGTTGTGGTTTGATTCATCCTATATGAAACTTTGTGTTGACGCAAGATAGCGTCAACACAAAGATTTTACTCATCGGCCTTTTGGCGAGGATAGCTGTTGAAGCCGCGGGGTTTTTCAAATATCTGTGGGCTGCTGTTTATTAGAAGACGTGCCGATAAACAAGCAAAATTATCGTGCATCATATATTCTTGATTCAGTTTTCTTTGTAAAGCAGAAAGACACTTCAGTGTTCGGAAAGATTACCGTTATGAATATATTTTGTGATTGGCGTATGGAATGCCTCACATCACAACATGGTGAAGAAAAAGAGCCATTAATTTCTGTATTATGAGTGTATTGTGTAGATTCATCGTCATCTTTATTCTCGGCTCATTTTTCTTTATAAAGCAGACGCATTAGAATTCAGAAAGAGGTTACATTATGAATACACTTTATAGATATTCATTGCACAATATGATTTCCACCTTGAAAGACCTAGGATGTTTTTAGACTTTATACAAGATGGAGCAATGCCTCATACTAACAGGCATGAGAAGTAGCTGCTTATTTGTGCTATCTAACTTCGACTGGGATTGCGTCATACCACGAGAATGTTTCTTTGTTTTCTTATTTTCCGGTTTGGTGCCCGCGTTTTTCTGGCCGTTGGTTTGCTGAAAAGCGACGATGTTTATCAGGGATGGATCTATGCCTTATTTGAAGGCATATTGCTGATATTCCCTATCCTTTCTTAGTGACCATTAAATACGCCATTAAACTTCCGAATTTCAAATGGGGCTAGGTGAGTGCGATATTTAACACATGCAGCAACAACTGTAAAATAGTTTTCTCTTATACATTATTTTTTTTTCCTCTTAAAATACCATATCTTCGCTTCGTAGCAACACTTGAACAACATTTCTATCCAAGAGTCTATTCTCGATAGTCTTATAAAGCATTTTCTCCCTCCTTTCTGCATGCCTTCGTGATGTAACAATAGCACACTCGGCACGTATTCGAGAGGTCAAGGTTCGATTCCTGGCGAGGGTATTGCTCATTTTTGATGTCTCCTGCTTCAAAATAACCTAATAACTCTACAGTCTGTGTAGTATATTCTCTAAATTTTGGATGTAATAGGTTCCAGAAGGCTCTGAGTACGATCACTTTAATTATAAGCATTATCTATTTACTTCTATAGATAATTTGTAACATTAAAACAAGCAATGGCTTTCTGAGTATAGAAGGATGTCCTCATGGAGGACCAATTAAGGGAAACTGCCCATATTTACATTATATAGGAAGAAAACCACTAAATCTCTGGCGCAGCAAGGTCATTCCGACGCCGAGGTACAGCTGCAAAGTAGGTTTATTCAATCGACCACTAATAAAGTGTCATTTTTACACCATCAAAACCGTAATTATATGAAAGCATCTTGAGTCCTTGAAGGAAGAAAAAAAAATTTTTCCCCGCGAGTAGGAAAAAATGTCTTGGAAAAGACAAGTTATAGCAGTGCTCTCATGTATTATCTGTTGGAAGAGTGCTTTAGTGGAAGAATTTTAGAGATAATTTGGCTCGTACCCATGTTATACAAAGAAAAATGTACGGAAATTCCATGCAGTCGCCTCGTTCAGTTGGCAGAACAGTACTAGAGAGAAACTACCAGTATTCAATGGTCTTACCTATTCTTCTACTGATGGGCATGTATGATATTAAAATGTAATTTATATATCATATTTATTAACAATTTGTTTCTTTTGATGCAAGAGTTAAAATCTGTAAAACTGAACGGACAACGACTTTAAGTTTAATTATCTTTTAAAATACAAATTAGAGCTTTCACCTTACCTGCACAAAAGGTTGTCATCAAGGCATTCACATGTGTCACATCCAAAGGAAAATGTAGAGCCTGGGCTATACAAAGACATACCACTGTGACAGAACTTCGAAGCAATGAAAGCACAGCCATTTTCAGGGCATTTTATACCCGGATAAAATCCCAAGACTTCAACATCGTCTACTTGGCATAACATTTGGCAATTTGTCATTGTTTCAGCCTGAAAGACGAAGCTATATTTAAATACATGTAAACATAAAATAAAGTCAAAGAATAATATATTTTGAGAGAATTTAAGAATAATGCAAGTATAAAAGTGAGTGAGAAAATTGAAAATTCTAGTATTTATTAGCTTGTTCCTTTAAACTAAAATTGATCAAATCATGCTTTCAAACACCTGACCGAGACTATATTTATATTTTACAACAAAGAAATTTTCCGGAAAAAAAAAAAAAAAAAAAAAAAAAGCTTAACCGTCAAAGTAATTTTCCGGCAAAAAGAAAAACTGAATCATTTGTCGATTCATGCAGCATATCTTCCTTTAGTTTTCCAGATATCCAAATTATATTAGTTATCTGCAAAACGAAGTTAACCACTGAAGAATAATATTTTAGCACTTTCTGATAAAACCTAAATTATTATTAGCATAGTAATGTTCATAACATAATAAGCTCTTCATATGCCACGGGCTGAATTAAATTTTGCTTATACAAAACTGGAACATTGTACAATCCAAGAACGCAGTTATTCATTCTTAATATTAAAAAAAATTACTAGCTTCTTGTGGCTATATTATTTTATTAATAATAAAATTAATTAATTAATTTTATTATTAATTTATTAATATTTTTTTAATATAAAATAATTCATAAAAGATGTTTATAAGTCGGCATCAGAAGTTTCCTTACTTAAAAAGAAATTCTGCTATTGAGGGACATAATGTAAATGAACTAATAACGGGGTTAAAACTTACCTACAGTTTTCAAAATAGAAAAGGTTTTGTAATAATCTTTAACCTATTCACTAATTTAACATAAATGGTGTTATTCATAAATCTTTTTACATAAACTATTAATAATCTTGGATAATTAATAAATTATTACTGTTGTGCAACTAATGATTGCTTATTGTTTTAGATGAATATATTGAAAATAACACTGAGGTTAATGAACAGGTCTTCCAGATGCAGATGAGATTGTGTATCATCTGACGTTTTTCACTACACTTACTTTAACCTTTATTCAGCATCCTGGACAGTGAGATTTATTTGCATACAACGCAAGTATGCTGGTTTCGGAAGCGCATGCATTAAATTTGGAACAGCTTTACAAAGCAATAATTTCAATATCATAAGTGGAATTTTGAATATTTTTACAATACCTTAGCACTAAAAATGTAAATGGAATTGCAAATACTTTTGCACTATTTCAAACTTTTAAATTTTATTCCGAATAATTTTCAGATTTCACACACCTCACACATAAAAAGTAAATAAAAGAAAAAGAAAGAGAAAGAAAAAAATCAGCTATATCACCTGACAAACCATATCGTGAATATCTCCTATTTTCATTCTATAACAACAAGTTCCTTGCATGCAGGATAAAGAGCATGATTCAAAGGATGAAAATGTCGTTCCCGGCAGAAAACACCCTGAAAGAGAAAAGTACTGAATTTTTTCTAAAGTTTGATCAGCCATATTATATGACTAACTGTAAATCAACACTATAAGGATTTAAAAAGAGTTACAGAGTACAAAAGAATTCAATGGAATTTACAAAGTTAATCATTAAACGTTATTTATTTTCAAAATAGGATGATAAACTTAATGTACATAACAGTAAATATAAGTGAATACTTTTACGGAAGTCAGTGTCTAAGATTTACAAAAAAAGGCCTCATTTCTTCACATTAAGATCTTGGAGATATCATTCATATTAATCTATTGTTGGTTTCTCTCAGTTACGCTTGCCACCATGAAATGAACAGCGTCTTGAGAATCTTTTCATGTATTTTATTTTAAAGACTGTTAAGGTACGGTAAGAGTGAAAAAAACTTGAGCTTTTAAATACTCTCACATAAAAGGGCTCCTCTAGTAAGCTGCAGGGAACTGAATGAGATTCATTGAACATAACCAAGTAAAGATAGCACCCGGCGAATAAAGCAGATTACTTTTGCTGTAACTATACACCCACTAACTCTGTAGCAACCATATTGTTCTTAATGACTTAAACTGTTAGAAGAAAAAAAGGTAAGCAAAAAAAAGGTAAGTAAGAGAAAAAAAGGTAAGCAAAATCGTGCAATTCGTAGTTTTGCAAGAAACTCCTTTGTTGGCTATCCTACGCTTATTAAGGGGCTCGTATCGGCTGCGGAAGAACACAAAGCCGAGATAATTTTTTAAGCTAGAGCTAGCAGAACTCTAAAAACGCTACGCGAGTGCCAAGTCTCTCTCTCAGATACTCTCTCTAATACACCTTAAATATACAACAAGCTAATTTGCAGTGTGGTGAATAATACGGATCAATATCAGTATCATAATAATCATCATATAATAATAATCACAAGATCAATATCATAATAACTGGTTAGTTTAACACAAAAAACCTTACAACTCACATAGTTCGTTAAACGGTCTCTAATTCTTTTATTTTTCTGTTATGAGTTAACAAAATGATAGTTCGCCCATGTTTCTTGAAACAATGCTAAGTATTAAATGTGTTAATTAATAGAAGATCGTCTGAAATACATAGCCAAAGAGCCAAAGAATCAGAATGCGAAATACCGGTTCCTTGTTTAAAGTGAAAAGTCATATCTAAAGAATGATATGAATATGAACTGTATTAATTAATCATAAAACCCTGATTTTAAAACTGAAAAGAAATAAATACAAGCTTATGAATAAAAGCATTTGAAATCATTCTTCCCATTTCGTTTTAGCCTTATAAAATACTTAATTTTTCAATTCTTCTATGGTTTCTTGCATTTCATCATATATAGAAAAGGTGAAGCAAGAAAACGAAAAAATGGTTAATAGGAAAACAAAATTATATATTCAAATTCATTGAAAATTTTGCAGATAGTAGGGTGTATAAAATAACAGTAGAATGGAAAAGTTCAAAGAAAACTTCTCACTAAATAATTAAATTATAGTGATAAACAAAAACATAGGATTTTGTTGGTAATAAAGTTCTTTGTTGGACGTCTGTCAGTATGGAATATGACAACCTCTGATGGAAACTTATGCCCCATAGACTCGATTCATACCGTATATAGCACCATCTACAGAGGTCTGGTTATCCGTGCTTGCTTAAGAAGCAGACACATTATCGGCTTGTAAGTATTCTGGGAGAGTTTGAATTAGATACTAATTATCTTCCAAGAATGCTCCATACAAGCTGGAAAGGATTCAATGTGGCGATTTTGATTGTCATTATATACGAAGCAGTGTTTCGGATTTCAAATACAGATAAAAACGCGAGTAAATGCGAATACCTTGAATTCGGGCCTTATCGTCCATCAAATTGCATCAATAGCGATTCTAAAAGAAGTGGAGGGAAATACTGTGCAGGGATACGATCTCTATGCTGCACTGTTATGGAATAGTACCCACTGCGTCAGTTGACCTTGAGACCATTTTAAGAGAATCTCTCTGTGCGAAAGTGTCAGTGACGCGCAAATCATTAGGCGTCTTTCGTACCGCTAAATTGTATGCAAACGTTTATAAGCAGTCTCTGTAGATATCCCTTTCCCCGCGAACGCCATAAGGTCAGAAACTAGTTGACGAGAAGTGACTTACCTTGGTGTCATGCTTGCAGACAAAGAAAGTAGAAAGTAGTCATCCTGAGCGGTTGTAAACTTTGGACGCTCACTTATTGGTCTTCATGACTCATTTGTTTTACTTCGATATTAGTCTAACAGGTGGCAAATGAGGAAATAATTAATATTAAGGGCTCAAACACTTCCTGCTGTCGCTGGCCTCTTTTGAGACACCCTGTTGCCTCCTACCACTATGCGCCAATCAGAAGATGTCATCCAGTTATTTTTCAAAATTTGATTACTCCTGTTTTGTTTCTGAATTCCATAATGTGGAAATACAGGTTTTGTACACCAGGCTCAGCATCACAGCCGGTGCAACCAGTGCGACCGCCCTGGGGGGTGGCAGGATTTAGGAGCTACGAAGTGTGCACCGGGAGACAAACGTTTCAGTGCCGACTCTGCTGCACACAATAGATCACTTTTATACCTAACACGCTTCCTTGTTAAAAACTGCTGGTACATAAAATGGATTCTGTAGGTTAGTTTCCGTGCGCGTACATCTATCTGTTAAGTACACAAATTTTGTGGCTACATGTTTCTTTTGGCGTTACTTGGGAGCTAATTTTCCCATTTACTGCTTAACATTTGGACACCATTATATTTCGCCTTTTTAAAACGGTTTCCATAAAAGTACAATTTTACTGCTTAACATTTGGACACCATAATATTTCGCCTTTTTAAAACGGTTTCCATAAAAGTACAATTTTTAAATATAAATAAATAAATTAGGATCAAACCTGTGGAGTAATAAATTATGTTTATGGCGTATGAATTGCAATTATTTGAGACTAAAATTGGAAGCTAGTTCAATTACTTCGATTTGCTGACAGGCACGTTTTAAGAGTTTATGATTGTGACATAATAACAATAATTTGTAACATCTTGAGAAGTAAAATATCTGTATTTGCAAACAATTGTTAAATTATGTAAGTGTCTGTTTGTAACTAATTTTGTACAGCTAGTACTTTTTTTAACCTCTGGAGCAGGATACAGAAAAAATCAGCTGTGCTCTCTGTGAGATTCAAATTACCTACCAGTGATACCACGACAGCACACACAGAAAAAAGCAATAATTCCTTATATTCTATCCCAATTAAAAGGGCGAATGGGGTGCGAGACTCAGTCGACTGAATCCAGATGGAGACAAGTTATCCTCCATCACATTTTAGTCGGGATCACTGCAGAGCAGTTAGCTTTTCTTTACCAGGAAATAAGAAAAATAGCTAAATTGTCGGTGGGGTTCGAAGCACAAAACTTTCGACTGCAACACGGGTATGTTATTCCTTGCATCACAAGAGAACGCAAGAGGGAAGACGATATTTCCTTGTAATGTATTGTACAGAATTGTTCAAAGTAACTGAGTATGTCAAAAATGTTATGCTCATATCATATTAGCCTATAATCCTATATAATCTTAGAAATTTCATTTTTGATCCCGTGGAGACAGAACAACTCAACAGCAAATATTGTATGAATATTATTATCATCGTGACGTAGTTTATGTAGCTAAAAGAAATCAGACAGAATTTTTTATGTTGAACAATTTTCCTTGCTTATTATTTCCTTATCCCTTTAAAAGAAAATAATTTTCCGTTCGTTTCCTGTATCAATCATTTTCTATAACTCTGTACAATCATTATTATTTTAAACTACAAAGTTACAGATATGCTTATTAAAGGCACTGCTTATTAAAGGCACTGCTTATTAAAGGCACAAAAGTTAAATCGAATTTAGATAGCGAATTTAAGAAATGTTTTTTTACTTGCATCAGTTAATTAAACTTTAGTTCTAATTGTAAGATTATAAAAATAATGTTATATGTAATAAAGTGAACATGCTCAAAAACCAAATGTTAAAGCAAAAGAAATGGAAATTTTGCAGGCCTTATAGTTTCGAAAGTTGATTCAAGCCTTCTTTCTCAGCTGTTTCTTTCTTTTTTTCTCTTCCTGCAGATGTGGAAGAAGGTTCGATTTAAACTTCGGACAGTAGTTCAGCACTTTACTTTATTATGCCTATTTTTCTTGCTTTATTAATTGATTTAATATTATTTCTTAAAATTTCTACAGTTTCGAGATTTTACTAAATACTCCTCTAGATATTGCTTACTTGAAGACATCAAAGCAGTTAAGATTACCTGAGTTGGTTGACTTGCACTGATTGGAAAAAGAATCGAAGTACCATATAATTTGATGACCGACACAATTGCCCTCCATCTTGACAGCGGTACAACTTGATATGGACTGCTCGCACAAGGGACCTGAAAACCCATCTGGACAGATGCACTGCACTGAATGATTGGCTGATGCACGATGACATATTCCCCCGTTTAAGCATGTGTTTTCATTGCATTCCAGTAAACATTCTGCAGAGTGGTGAGATAGGTAGCAGTTTGTATTGCCATTCTAGGAGAAAAGGTACCCATTTAAAAGCTGTATAATAAATGACTTAGAAACTTATAAGATTCAAATTACTTCACATTCAAGAGGAATATTACTGAAAAATTGTAATAATGAACCGACCACTGCTTGCTCTAAAAATATCATTAAAAGCTCTTCCACTACATTTATACACGCACACATATGTATATATACTGATAAAAAAACGAATTTCCAGTGCCAAGAAGGAATCAATTTAAAGCAGGAGTTCTCAACCGGTGGTACGCAAGAGAAAAATAGGTGGTACGCAAAGAAACAAAGTATTTTTAACTATTAAATTCAAAAATCTTGTGAAGAAAAAGAATAATTGATAGAAATTTCCTGTGATAGAACTCTAACTGAAGAGTGTACAAATAATACACTTGTTAACTTTTGGATACCCCCCCCCCAAAAAAAATAAAGGCGTTTCAAATAAAGTTGTTAAATTTTTATTGTCTTTTTGCACAACCTATTTGTGTGAACAAGTATTTTCTTCAAGTTTTATTTGAAAAATAAATACAGAACAAAATTAAGATTGGATCTTAATTTACGGTTAAAGTTAAATAAACATACATAAAGAAATTGATCTCTCTTTAACAGGCGCAAATTTCACACTAAATTTTAGAATTAAATTATTATAATTTAAATTTTGATAATTAAAATGGTAACCAATTTTTAATCTAATATTTTTTATGTGTGAACATTTAATATAGCCGAAAAGTTGCGCAAATAGCAAAATATATTATTTTATATTTTTATTGACACATTGAAAAATAATCATTGTAAAATGTAGTAATGGTACTAAAGTTTCTTAGTTTTTGTTTAGATGGTACGTGTTAGTCAAAAAGTTGAGAATCGCTGGTTTAGAGGAATAAAATATAGGCAAAGCATTTGTCTAGGTAACATACTTATTTGATTAAGGTTTCAGGGTTACAAGTTAAAATATGTGTGAGAAGAGCCATCTGAAATGTGAAATGGTGGTGCATTAATAACCGTTGTAGATGCCATGATCTTGAGTGCAAGCATGCAAACTTTCATGCGTTGTGCCGTACATGTCCTGTATATGATTTTTGTCGGATGGAGTTCCATACCTGCTGCACTTAGTCAGTCAAATCAGAAACGGTCCGTGTTCCTGTGGAAGACGCTGGATTTGGCATCCAATTATGTCCCATATGTGCTTGAGGGTAAAAAAACGGTTATTTTTCCCAAGTTAATACGTCGACACTCTGTAGAACACTTATTGCGATAGCAGCGGTATGGAAATGAGCGTTATCCTGTTGGAAATGTTCCTTTGGAATATTACTCAACAATGGCAGTACAACCGGTGCAATCACCAGTCTGGCGTAAAAGCTTGCTGTCACAGTGTGTGGGATTACAACGAAAGTGCTCCTGCTATCATACGAAATTGCCCCCAAACCATAACTCATGGTGTAAGCTTGATTCCAAGAGCTCACCTGACCTCCTTCTAAGCAATATATGACCATCACTGGCAATAAGACAGAAACAGCTCTCACCTGAGAACACAGCAAATCTATAATCCGCACTACGATAAGTTCTGGATTGACACTGCCGAAGTCGCAGATGGCGATGGAGTTACTGGTATGGCCCCGCTACAGGGCGTCTGGGTAGAATCTCTTGCTCAAGTAATCGATTTGTTACAGTTGTGTCACTCTGCTGCCAACAAAACTCAAATATCTGCTTCAGGTGCAATGCGATGCATCACCAGATGTACGATAAATACGACGGTTTTCCCTTTGAGTGGTAGCACGTATACACCACTACTAAAACGCTCATGACGCCTAATCCGGAAGATATATGAAGCACACGAAGTTTACATCGCGTATTTAAAGCAAAAATTATTTGCATATTAACAGTGGTCGGACTAATACTATAATTATTCATCTAGCGCAAAATGTGAATAGATGTCATCCTTCAGATGTGCAAACACTCTTACAGAACTTCGTTTATCTAGCACAACTATTTCTTGATGTTGGGATTTCATTTTCCATCAACGTGTGCATTTGAGTTTGAAGCACTGATTAACTGAGAGCCCTAATTAAATCAAGGCGCTGTAATACATAGATTTAAAATTTCAGTGATGAATTTTTACCCTGGTATACCCGCACTTACGACATCCTGTCTGACTTGTTGTAATGGAGTAAACTTAGCTGTAATGATGTAGGAAATTTGAATGCCCAGATATTGAACATGTTGCTTACACAGAATGTTAATTTATAATCAGGAGCAACTTGGCAAACGAGATAGATTAAATATTCATCTTAACTTCCAAAACCATGTTGCGTAAACAAACAACATGGCTCTGTAATTCGTGACTATTTCAAAACATATATATTTTTATACTTTATGTTAAGAAGAAAGTAGCAAGCAGCAGTCCAGCAGGGTCAATGTACAGAAAGCAAGTGACTTGTGCTCAGGATGAAATCTTAATTCAGAATTTATATTTCCAGTTAACATATTTTTAATCTTTCTTCATCTATATGTCCCGTCAACTGATTATGCTGAATTAAATACTGCATATTCAAATAAAATTATATTTAAAAGTGTTCCGCAACAGATATTTAAGGAAACTTTATAATTTGTGGTTTTAAATACCTGAATCCCAATTCGGGAAGAACATAATGATAGTAAAATAGTATTCCGAACTTAATTTTTTCTAATAAAAACAGTTTTTCAGACTCCAATCTGTAATAAAAATAGTTATATGGATGGTGTTTCTCTGTCCTTGAATCACATTTGACACTTATAGGCAAAGAAACTACAGTTTATTCAAGCACATAGTCTATCCTCTTGAATTTCAAACATAGCATTAAAAATTATGATCACCTTACCTCGCATCTGCATGTTGTGCATGGATCTGGATACCAGACATGACCTGCAGGGTAATAAAGACTTTCGGATCTGCAACCGGAAGAAGTTCCACATTGGCCAGACAGAGAACTTAAGTGAGAATGCAATTCCTTGTTCTGAAAAGCAGAAATAACAAGAATTCAGTAAAACAAAAGCAAAAGAAAATATGAAAGCGATTTATTATCTTTTTGCCTTTCTTTCCATACAACTGCAGTTGTCGTTAAATGTGTTTCTTGAAATGCCAGTTCATCTGAACTGATTATCGATAATCAGTATCATCTTGCCGTGACATTGACAAGCAGGCTCATAATCTTCTGGAGGGAACTGAACTTTTCATGTTCAACTTTTCATGTTTTTGAGTGTTAACTGATGAGTTAACTCTTGAATCTAATGTTATGATTTAACACCCATGGTACGTGACCCATGGTAACCCATGTGTTAATTCTTGAAATAATTTTCTCCTCCAATACTCCAATACTAAAAATGATTCTGGATAAATCTAAAAATTTCAGCTGTCGCTCAATTATCTTTTGTCAAGTTTTTTTGTGAAAATGAACATCAAGATTCAATAGTTTTAATTGCACATTTTACATGTCAGATTTCATTTGCAGATGTTAATAAACATGGATGAATTTTAAAAACTTTGTTCTTAAATTCGTTTCTCATTAAGTGTAATGTTACCTTTAATATTAAGCAGTTTTTCTTTTCTCTTCTGTTTTTCTTGTTCTCATATGAAAGATTCAGGTTATTCAAGATTCAAAATATTCGAGAAATTTGAAGAACTCTTAGAATTCAGATTTCAGGAATTTTAAAATTCCTTCCATCTCTACTAATAACCAAAAACGTATTGTAAATAATAAATCATAGCAATGCTAACAAATCTTTTTCAGAAAGGCTGCAATAGTATTTGAGCATAGGAGGATGGATGAATGAAAGGATAGACAAAAGTTACTCACCAGGTGGCCCAGGCAATTTAATTTCTCGGTAGGGAATATTTTCACCAGAACCATATTAGGGATTTTGGAGGCCTTACGTACTTAAAATATTTTGGAGCCCCCACATAAATTTACGCCTGCTTTTCCCATTTCTGTCTCAGTTTTCACCCGCCTCGTATATTCCGTGGTAAAATCGGCAATGCGAATTTTTTGGAGTACTCCTCTTTCTGAAATTCTAAGGACATTATTGTGGTGCCCCTTTTCCTTGATGTCCTAAGCATGTGCTTATTTTGATTAATGATTAATCCGACTGTGGTGTTCACATAGAACTGTGATGCAGCAATACAAAAGCCGTGATTTATTAGGCCATGGGGCAGATTTTTCCATTTCTGCTTTACAGTGTGAATTAGACTCGGCTTGTTTTTCCAGTAAATTACTATAAGCTGCTCTTCATCTTACCCCATACGCGCTCAGTGGGGTTTAGTTCAAGAGAGTATATAAGCCAATCAATTTGATGAATAGTTACACTCTCCAGGCTAATTTAAAATGCTCTAATTCGATGAGGCGGGGCATTATACTTTATAAAAGTTTTTGCTAATGACACCAAACAATAAAAGACCCTGACACTCAGTAACCTATCTGGGATAGAAGTTGCCCTTCATGGTGCTATAGTCCATCAGCCATGATACCCTTTTTACATACGTTTATGTTTAACTCCTTTCGCGTCAAATGAACTATGTCTTAAAACATGATTGCAGATTGACGCCTTCTACGGTGCTGTCTGGATAGCGCTACGCAGAAGATCGTTTTTCGAGCATACATCCCATTAAGGTGAAAAAGCACTTTATTTGTACGTGTTGGATGTTAAGCAACTATAACTTGTCTTGCTTTAAGACCTTAAGACAGATGGGTTACAGCATGCATTTTGTATATTTCCTTGTAATAAACAACGGATTTTCATGCAAACAGCTTGGAACAGCTTGCATTCTATACAACATATTATGCATGGAAATTCGACTGAGATAATTTGCATTATTCTTTATAAAGATACATATCTGTAGTATTTGCATAATATACTAACCATTAAGTGTTTTTTAGGTGTTTAAATAAAAACATTTTCAAACACATTCTACTCCCCTACTTGCTCCTCAGAGGCCGGTTAATGCTTTTGGAACCAATAATCTCGATATCTCCTTGGCGCTCACTAGTGGGCGACATCGCACTTGTTAAAAAACTATAGTTTAGATTAAAATGGAGAATTGCACGAATAACATCTTAAATGCCTTTGAAAAGTTACTCAACAAAATAAAATGCATAATTGAAAAAGTACACAATTAACAGCTTCAAAAAGTAGTCTATTAAATTAATACTGATTCGTACTGCTGGTTAAACTAATACAGAACAGAAATGACTGTGCTTCTATGTAACTTCATATAGTTAATATACATATTAGTAAAAGTTCTGACCACATCAGGAACACATCATAAACGTTTACTTTATATAATGCGAAAAGTCGATTATTGAGAACAACGGAAACCGTATCCTTCGATGACCATTTGCTAAGCGTCAAACAAATTTCGAATTCCGTTTCTGCAGAAATATGCTTACTCAAAGGTCTGCCTCTTACTCTCTTAGTTTCGACACGGAAAACCTGTAGAGACATTAGGTTATTTCGAAGCAGACAGCATGAAAAATAAGCAATCCCCTCGTGAGAACTCGAACCACGGACCTCTCAAATACGCGTCGAGTGTGCAGACTACCACACCACAAAGGTAAGAAAGTGGGAGAAAAACCTTATATACTCCCCCTTTTAAAGGGCTACTAGGGATTAGGGGACCCAGTCGCCAAATCCTGGTGGTAGAGAATCATCATCCACCACCTTTTCGAGTTCGGGCGCTACTGTAGAGACATTACGTATTTTTTTTAAAGCAGGAACAACAACAACAAACTCTTATAACCGCTCCTGCTACTGAAAGCAACTGCGGTGTTTTGTAACTATTCTAATTGTTACAAAACGATTGGTAAAGTGTAACGATTATTTTTGATTATTAGGATTAATTTTAGGATTAAACGATTATTTAGGATTAATTTTTGTCGGTTGTTTTGGTTCAACCAAGTCCTTTAATTTTGCATTTTCCTTAATTGCATCCTCCAGAATTTTAAGTTCTTCCTCTCTATTGGTTTGAATTAGAATGCCTCCTTTGCGAATTTTCCTGACACTTTTAACTCCTATTTTGAGTTTTGCAGAACTTATATATTTTTCAACTTTTTCTTTTGTATTCTCTGATGTTGATCCATCCTCTTTTGGGTAAACCAGCAGGATATGTTCGCTCTGGCCTTTATGTCTAGATTTTGATCGACTTCTTTCGTGCACTGTCTTTGCAGCCTTCTCTGCATAAGTCTCTCGAGTAATTCCATTGCTTTTTACCTCCGCTAAGCCTTGCAAATAGTTTTCTATGTTTTGTGATTGTTCCAATTGTCCTTGGAGTTGCGCTATCAGTGCATTTTGTTTTGTTACAATTTTGAAAATATCCAAGAAATAAGATCTTGGTGTCTTAGAGAGTTTCTTTGAAATATTCTCTCGAGAAAGGATACCCTCTAAATTTTCTAAGCATTCAAATGCAGAATCAGTAAATTCGCTGGAACAAGAGTCTTTGGAAGTAAAATTAGCAGGATTACAATCTTGTCCATTTGAAACTTTAACGCTAACGTCCTTAGCAGTACTATCTGTTATAACTGGATCTAATACATCTCCATGTGTATTACTAAAATGTGATTTTGAATGTCCTGAAATAGATTTTTCTGCATGTGGAGTTAGAAATGAAGACCTACCGCTATCCACACCTGGTGGCTTATGGTGTTCTGTGTTTTCCTTAGCTGCCATAGTTAAATAATAACTCTTATTAATCCTACTTTAAACCATTACGAAATATATAGTCAAACTAATACTTAAAAAAGGATGAAATGATGATAAATGTTACCACTAAAGGTAATAACGATACTAGAAAAGAAGTTTTACAGGGAAATTGAAAGCTAGGTAAGTATAAACTATATGAATCTTAATCTTTAAAGCAGGAAGGATGAAAAATGAGCAATGCCCTCGCCGGGACTCGAATCACGGACTTCTAGAATACGCGTCGAGCGTATTCGAGAACCACGAAGGCATACTAAAAAGGCGGGGGAAATACCTTATAGACTAATCTTTGATAGTTACGATGAGGGACAATAAAATGTAGTATAATAGATATGATCTATATAACAACGGATAGGATATAACTTCTTCCCCCATCTCCAACAAAATCTAGAACGTCAACGCAGTTTGATTGCAGTTGCGAAGGAGTGATTCTAGTACACTTGATTATGCTCTTAAGATGCTGGTGGCTCATAGGAGTGTTTTTAAAGAATTAAAGCTTCGTAAATTCCATCAAGCAAATAACATCCCTTTACTCACGGGGGTATCATATTTTGACTCAGTTCTAAGCACTTCGTTCTACTTCATCCAAGCTAATGCTGCCTTTTCATAAAGACATTATTTTTCATCCTCTGTGATAATAAAATTCAGGCAAATAACAGTACGGTGTTAAATAATGAAGAAACAGATTTCTTCTCAGGCTACTGTCTGTAGAAATATTGTCTCATTGCTGAAATTCGTTCAAAAAGTCAGCTACGTGAAGGTATCAGCTACAATGAATGATACTGTGCATTCTTTGAATTTTCTGTCAGCTCGCGCATAGTTATTACAGAGTCTGCTACTCTCCACTGCCGTGTGCTCTCCGGAAATGTGTTTATATTGGAGGCCGAAAATGCTTGAATTACATTCTAATTGCACTCTTCTACACTCCCCCACCGAAGATACTGTTACCGCGACAAATTGAAAACATTCAGCCCGAATCTGAAAACGTAAAATAGAATATGAGCAAGTTTATTCGCAGTCGCAGAGCTCGTGCTTAAATGTTCTTTGTGTCACTTTCTACCTTATGCAGTATAAATTTTAAAAAGATAGCAGTGAACAGGTGTTTCGCGAAATTTGCCAAACCTCAAAATAGATAGAACTTTCCCAGCGATAAATGCATGTCTGAGTGCATTGTGATTTGTCCCCGATTTTCCTTAAGGCAATTCATATTATTTCTTTCAATATTTAGTTTAATATCTTTTATATGACAGTTGAATTGTTTGAAAATATAAATCCAGTTAACTGTGTAATGATATACCACTTCCTAGTTGTGAATTTTCTGCATATTTGTAGCTATAAAGCCCAATATGAGAACTAAGGGATGCATGGTCCAAATATAAAGCATAAGGACTATGTTTTTATTATTGAAAGTAGCCAACATTATTTCCTTTGGTTTTAAATTATACCTATGTTTATGCAATTTGTTATACATTTAGTTATGTTATGTAAATAACACTATAGAGCACGACTTTTGTCTTTCAGGTCAAAAATGAAGCAAGTTTAAATAAAATTTTTATATTCAATAGTTAATAGCTAAGGATGTCGATTTTGAACGTCTGCCCTGAATTCCTTTCTTTGTTTGAAGTGTTTTAGATTCGTATTGGGAAAATTATCCTTTAAAAACAATAATTGAATAGTTAGAGAGCACAATACCACGAATTTACCTCATATTTGTAAAAGTTCAATTCTTTCAGAAGCCTCTCATTTTCTCCAGCTAGTTGAGTAATTTGCATCTCACAAGTATCTGAATTTTGTGTCCAATAAAGGCCGTTCTGGTTAACACCTGAAATACAGATCAATGCTTAAATTTATAGTCTGCATAATAATATTGAAGAAACATCCAAAATACCTCATTTTAAGTATAATACGAAGAGATGATTCTTACAAGTCGACAGATTATATAGTATTCCTATTTTCTAGACCGGCGAATCATTTTTAATCTTGAGCTCAGGGTTATAAATTTTACTAGAAAATTTTATATAGTAATTTATCGTAATCATTAAAACCATTTCTTTTACATCATACGTACGTTTAGTATAGTTTTACATTAGAAAAAATTGCGAAGAATATGAGTTACATTATTTAATTAAAGCAAAGTATACGAAAGTTTTCACCTACAGTACCTTGGTGATGGAATCAAAAAGCACCTCTCTTTCCTCGCCCCCTAACTTCCGAGATATTAAAAAAAAATTTAACAACCACTTAACATTTCAAAACTCTTCCAAAAGACTAACTTAGCATCGTTTCAGTTGTAATAAATTAACTGCAAGGTCTGTGTTTTCAGGCCACAGAAGTTCATTCGGTATGATATGCAGAGAATCTCGTCTAGTTTTATAAAATGACTTTTATTTTCCCGCTTCATGTGAATCTCAGTACCTTCATTATTATCGATACAAATAGTGATCGCTTGTTCTTTTAAAATGAAATTAAGTGTCATTTCCATTAACAATTGATAATAACACTCTTTGGGGAAAAAAAGTGCAATTTGATCTTCTTATTCAGATTCCAGATTAACACTTCATGCAATTATAAACTAAACAGTTACAGAAACTAATTTAAGAACTTTATATTATGGAAACCAATTTATGTCACTTAACTCATTATCTTATTATTTTAGTTGTAGTGTCACTTTTAGTTTCACCAGCTTCCGTCAGCAAATTAGTTAATGAGTAAACAGGTATTAAGATCGAAGTTCTTGATTGGTTTGGTTTATTTATTTATAGCAAAGCACTCGAGGGCTATCTGCCTAAATCGAGGGATACCTTCGTGGAGGACTTTCTAATGGAAACTGGCTCATATACACGTTACATTTGGGAAAAACAACGAAAAATGCCCCTGCAACCAGTCCGTTGCTAGGATTAGAATCTCGGACCGAACTACCAGAGTTCAGCGATTTTACTACTCGGGCGCTGGTTAGGCACGAACTTCTTGAAGTCAGAGGTAGAACTTGGCAGCATCACTGGACTTGTGTGATATTTCCTCGCCTTGTGTGATTTCGTCCCGCTCATAGAATTACTTATCTCGACTTTTGCTAGTCATGTTCTTCAAGTAGTTAGTAAAGTCTGAGCCAAAGTTTGATAGAATTTTGTTTTGTTAATTTATCGCATAAAATATTTAAACCTTAGTTCCTTAGCTTGCAATTTATATTAGCTTAAATCCCGCAAGCATACGAAATTATTTGCAAGCACGAATTACGCCGTTGTAAAATTTAAGTTTAAACCACCTTCTGGACACAGTTGCTTTACTAAGACGAAGCGATATATCGCTTTTCAATCTCATAAGGAACGAAATTAAGTTGAATAAGTGGATGATTTCTCTATGTCATATCACCTAAAATTCAAGATACAGAAAATAAAATCATGCATTCAAAGCGAGGTGTTCAAATTAATATTACGAAAGAGCAGAAAAAAAGATTTGGTATTATTTCATGATAAACTAATCCCAAGAAAGACTTGTGCGCTTATACCTATAATAAGGAAAAGAATTAGTAACTGCGTACTTTTTTTACCAATTCGCTTGCGTACGAGGCGTGGAGCAAACATTTTCCACAGATGGAGGGATAAACTTAGTCGGATTCGCTTAGTGAAATTAATACAACAATTATTTAACACTTGACTGTTAAAAAATACATGTTGAGATTGATATTCGATCGGGATCAAATACTACACTCAAGTATTATTAAGAACGAGAAAGCAAATGATTAAATATTGAAAGATTAGTGTTTGAATATTTATCTACCGCAATTAATAGTAATCGCGTACCGAAAAGAGCATATCAAGATTAAAATTCGAATGCAAGGACAATTTTGACAGTGAATTAAAATCACGTGAAACTATATGATTTGTAAAGATGTCTTAATACTGCATTATGAAATACACGTGTAGGTGAGCAAGGCTGCGAAAAACAGAACAATACTGCTTGATCCCACTAAACTGAAAAGATTTATTCATCTATACAGGGTGATTCTACGGTCTTGGGACAAACTTGGAGGGATGGTTGAGCGTACTAAACCACGTACTTTTCGTATAGGAATGTACGGCCTAAAGTGACGTGTTGAGACACGAACGAAAAAAAAAAAAAATGACATGGGAGGTAATATGTCTTTATTTACAAAATCAGCGTAAAGTGCTTCTTTGCAGTTATACAATATTCACAATAAATGTTCAAAATTGCGATCACCATCAGACTCTGCTTCAGACTGCGATTTTGCACTGTATGTGTTCATGAAGAAAGAAATTCATTTGAGTACCTCCTAAATCAAAAGAAGAGACTCCAATTAAAGTAGCCATTAGTGGCTTTAACAGGATTCTAATGCAGTCGGCATTAAAGATGAACTATGCAAAGCAGGATATTCTGTAATTAAGGTTACTCAATTCTCTAAATTCAAAACGAAACGAGCTGAAACTCCCAGTTTTCTTTGCTTCTTTGAATAGAGGTGATATTGGAAGAAATATTTACAAAAAAGAAACAATCCTTAATCTAAGGGTCTCAGGCAGGAAGTATCGAAGCAACCCAAATACCATGATGAGCTTTAGATGCCAGCGTTTCGGACATGGGTCACTTTCCTGCAATAATTTACCAAGATGTATAGTTTTTATTTATTTTAGCTTTATGATTTATAGTAAAGATCATCTGACGTACATTTATGCTATTCTTAAGGATGAAAAACCCACCTATATCTGATGTGGAAATAATCAGGTGGCTTCATTTCAGGGCTGCGAATTTTATCCTTAAATAATAATTCCTTACTAATTTTATCCTAAAATTAGTAAGGAAAATACAAAAGAAAACAAAGCTCCTTAGCTGCTGAAAAAAAACCTTCAAAGGTGTTATTACGCAAAAGGAAAAATCTTCCTATCACGAAATCTGTCACGCATGTGCGGATTGTTTCAGCTCAGCCAGTTTTGGAAGCTGAAATTAACAAAGTTAAGAATATTGTCAGTACTGAAATTTGCCTATAAATTCAAGGAAAAGAAGCCACCTATGGAAAACCTCGAGCTGCGGCTTCGCTTGGTTGAACTTCTCAAGGGAATGGTTAAGTTAGGTTATTTAATTACAGCAAAGCCTCGAGCGCTATCTGCCTAAGGGAAGGGGTGCCTTCGTGGAGGACTTTCTAATTGAAACTGGCTCGTATACACGTTACACATGGAGAAAACCACGAAAACACCCATGCAGCCAGCCCGTTCGCGGGATTCAAACCACGAACCGAACTACCAGTGTTACCGCTTGGAAGCTGGTGGGCCCTCAAGGGAATGGAAAAATTTTATTTTCCCTCATCCGCTAAATGATGACTAAATTTGTTGACTTTGGCCATGATAAATGGTACCAAAAGTCAGCAGAGTCTTCTCTTCAGTATGCATGATTATTTGGATTTCTCTCAGCCTTATGAGGTTAAGCGGTCCCCCATTTTCCTCCCCTCTTCAGATTTCTACTCGCTGAGAATATCACATCCGGTATTTTACAAAGTCATGTGCTCTCGAGCTTAATTTCACTGAACCGGCAAAATTCGGCCTTTGTGCGAGAAATCTCGCGATAATGGTATAACTTAAACTTTTTATATGCTTTCGTGGAGTAAATGGAAGCAACTTTCGTATTCGGAAGCTTCGGATTTGAATCCCAGCGAGGGCATTGCACATTTTTCTTATTCATGCATCGATAAAACCTAATGCCTCTATAAATGCAATTGGATATTAGAACTTAAGAAGATAAACAAAACAAAAAAAACCAACAAGAAATTTAACCCAAACTACCCTTAATTTCTTAAATAAAAATTGAAAAAGAAAATGTAGTTTGATTTAAAATAAAACTCAGAAATTCAACTCCTTTATAAATTTCAGACTCAAATAATAATTTTGTGTTTCATCTTGACTTGGAAACCTACAATACTAACAGATAGCAACAAACGTGTAAAAAAATTAAATGTTTGACGTTGCTTCTGGTTGAAAATACAAAAGAGAAAATCACAAAACTTTACTTCCGCTGCTTGCAGCATAATAATATAATAGTAGCTCAATATTTACAGTCAAATATTAAAGGATAATAACCTGGCTGATGTGAGCAAAATCATAAAATATTTAAAAACAGCATATCTTTAGAATTCCCGATAGAGTGTTAAAGGGGTTACCACAGATTTTTTTTTATATTCACTATATTATTTCTCTGAAAACTACCGCTCAAGTGGCCAGCCGCCTGAGTTCAGCTAGTGTCATTTCATAAAAATATTTAATATTATTAATTAACCAGCATTTTATTTAAAATAATGCATTTTTATTTAAAAGAATAATGTAAAATGTGAAAGAGAAGTTTTTAAAAACTGCATTTATTGCTTCTGAATCACTTCGTTTGCTATTCAGTAACAGAAAAATTAAATTTGAAAATTAAATATCTTACGCTTTACTGAATGGCAACACGTTGATGCTTGGAAATAATAAGTATTCTATTTTAAGACAATAGAAACAGCTTTCTTTCAAATAACAGAATTTGTAGATTAAAACTGAAAGATTTATACCTTACATTTTGCCGAATGGCAACAGTTTGGAGTCCTGGACATAAAAATGTTTTATTTCGAATAGTGGTGCCACTTCCCACTTTCAAATCCCTAACTTTGTTAGAAAATAATTTATTACATTTCTACGAAACATAAAATAATTCAAAAATAAATTCGAAATTCAAAATTCAGGCTTCAACGTGCTCATGTTCGGGTAGAGGACTACATGTGTCAAAAGTTTCATGGTTGTAGGTATTGTCATTTTCCCATAATGCAAAGGAACATACATATATACG